GATATGATACTAGTTTATTTTGATCCGCGTGTGACGCCGGTGTGTTTTATTTTTTTTTCTCCGATGGATACTAGTTTATTCATAGTAGCGTAATATTCATTTACTAGTAATAACGTTGAGAAAAGAAAAATAGAAGCCAGCCAGCAATCCACGCTCCCAATCGTGTGCCTGGAATTTTTTTATTCTCAGTCCCTAACTCCAGTACTATTAGTTTTTTTATTTCAATCCCTAACTCCAGTATGTTTTGCTTACTGACAGCGATGGCGCCGACGTCACATAGAGGCACACGGCACCAGTCGTTGAGGCGCTGACCGACTCCAGGAGAGTACTCCTACAGTCTTTATCCCCCGTGCATGCATGGTTTAAGGAGGTCAAATGACGACCACCTTATTTTTTTATGTTCATTCATGGGGCCCGGTGTCATTGACACGTTGTGGCGGTCCATAACGTGTTTCCAAGGGTATATATCCATCGCTAGTCCTGAGATGAAGTGATGATCGATGATATACAGTGCACAAGATAAACCTGTTTGTTTGGCTATGGCTTGTCGTAAACGATCGTAAATTTTCAGTCGGAACAGTATTTTTCTCGCACACAAACCAGCCAGCAGTACTTCTTCACGAACCAGCCAACCGAACAGGCTGAAAGTTGCGAGACGAATTTATTAAGCCTAATTAAACCGTCATTAGCACATATTTACTGTAGCACCACATTATCAAATCATGGACTAATTAGGCTTAAAAAATTCATCTCGCAAATTAGTCGCAATCTGTGTAATTAGTTATTTTTTTAGTCTATATTTAATACTCAATGCATGTGTCAAACATCCGATGGGACAGGGACTAAACTTCGGTTTAAGAAACCAAACAGGCCCCAGTAAATGCTCCAATAAATGACTACATCTCACATCAAGAACCAACGAACTGAATTAGAAGTACATATCGGCTTTGACCCAATGTTTACTCTATTATTAATATTTTATTTATACAATATTAGTAAATTAAATAAGAAATAAGTATTCATTTATTTATATTGGCTTTGACGGGGTAAACTGTCTTGTATTTTCAAAGTGGATCACAGAAGAGAAACTAATGCACTTATTAGTCCCTTTTCAAATCCAATCTAATGAATGAAAAACTAGAGAGAGAGAGAGAGAGAGAGAGAGAGAGAGAGAGAGAGAGAGAAACATGATTTCGACATGAATACAAGAGAAACCAATGCACTTATTAGTCCCTTTTCAAATCCAATCTAAAGAATGAGAAACAAGAGAGAGAGAGAAAACACACGATTTCGGTATGAATACAAGTGATAGATAGGTGCAAAGGATGGAGAATAATATTCTTTTTGTCCTAAATTACAGGAACTTGGGATTTTTTTAGATGCATAGCAAAACGTTGTTCCTAGAGAGACAATAAATAATTTGAAACGAAGCAAGTACATGAGATTGCAAGTACAATTCGCAAGCAATGAAGGAAATAAAAAAAAACTGGAAAAAGGAGAATGACAAAAAGAACCCTTTTTCTCCAAGAGAGCTGGGCCTAGGCAGCAGGTGCGCGCGTCATTTTATTTAACAATTACAGTATTAATAAAAGGAAAGATACCAAAGCGTAAGAACGCTCCTCGAACTTTCTGCACTGAGTACTTGTAAAGTTGTATACTATTGTCCTGTTCGTTTAGCTGATATGTTGGCTGATTTATTATAAAAAAAAATATTATTCGTTGGCTAAAAAAATAAACGAACAGAGCGTATGCATGTCAAGCTACTATCCGATGATATCCATGCCAATACAGTAGTCTACTTTGGAATCATTAACACCGAGGAACTAGGCGATCAATTTTCCATACTAGTCTATACAACTCCGTCGCTGCGTAGGAAACACAGTATTATATATGATATTTGCTCCGTTTGGTTTGCTGAATTGTGGTTGAAACTGGCTGAAAACACTGTTCTGGTCGAAATCTTATAAGAGAAAAACACTGTTCCGACTAAAAAAACAAGCTGAATAGTGTCGTTTTCTGGATAAAAGCCGAACGGGGCCATTATCCGGTAAGTTTAAACACAGTAAATTTAATCTACACGCAACAGTTAAGACCTCTAAAATTAACTTTAGCCTACACCATACACGCCACATAGAGTTTCCGTCTTCCATCTCCACTTTGGAAAAAGAACACGTATTTCTACATACAAAAGCATCCTATTTCCAATTTAGTAATTCGAGTGCGATTTAAACACACAATCTCGAACAAAACTAAAAAAGAAGAAGCATATCTTAGCTGCCAAGAAATTCTGAAAATCACGACAAAAAAAATCCTATATCATCCCTAATCGATGGTTGTCATTTCTTACATCTCAAGATCTCTGCTCCGTTGTAGTACGAGGCAAGGTGTATAAAGAGGCAGGGACAGAAGTGACCATGTGTAAAGGAGAGAGAGAAAGGAGTCAGAGAGCAAAAGTAGGATATACATCTAACATACAGCCTGTTCATTTCGTCGTAAACGATCGTGGATTATTTACTGCTGGCTGGTTTGGTGTGAGAGAAAAATACTATTCTAGATTATAATCCACGATCGCATACGAGCAAACGAACAGACTGATAATAAGTGAGGTATATCTCTCTAGAAGCAACGGAATTATACACATATAATGGCTTTGACCGATGTTCACCTATTACTACAAAATCATAATGACGAGTATGTACCATTGAATTTCAAATCCAATTACCAATAAAATTTGGGTTGTAAAATTATGTGTTAATAGAGTAACCATTTCTTAAAGGTTTATCTTTGTATTTTCTAATGGAGACAATTGAAGAGAAACCATTATAATTAGTCCTTTTTGAAAACTAATAAGAAAGATAGGAGCATGAGAAAACACATGATTTCGACATGAATACAAGTGAGAGAAGAAGAGTATATATGGAGACTACACGAGATTGCAAGGACCACACGTACAATTCACAAGCAATGAAAGGAAATACAAAAATTGGAAGAGGAGATAATAATGACAAGAAATTTTCCTTTTTCCTCTATATAAGAGAGTCGGACCTAGGCAGGTGCGCCATCAATTAATAATTTATATTTTTTTTGTGTATAAAAAGAAAATTCTAAAGTGCAAGAACGCTCCTCAAAACTTCTACACGAATACTTGCACGGTTTATGCCAAGCTACTCTCTTTGTTCATATCCATGCAAATACCCAACCTTGGGATATGCATGAGGAACAATCCAATCAATTTCCCATACTAAGCGACATCTCCACGGCTGCATAGGAAGCAAGGTTTCTGATAACTAAGTTGAAAACACTAATTTTAAATTTCATACAACAATTCCATTTCCAAATGAACTAAGAAATAAAAATATCATGTTACAAATAATGTCGTTTAATTTTAGGCTACAATGTACACGTCTTAAAAAGTTTCTGACTTCCACTTCTATCGTTCCACTTGGGAAAAAACCCACCTTTCTACGTATGGAGACATCCTGTATCCAATTTAGCAATTCACAACCGATTTAAACATGCAATCTCTAACCTAGATTCGTAAATCTTAACTACTAAGAAATCCCGAAAAACTACTACTAACATGATGAAAACACCTAGATCGCCTCACTAGTAATCACCGTCCCTCGCTTGCACCATAATCTATCATTTATCTGGGCCGTGAAACCACGCAGAGGTATAAAGAGACAGGGACATAAACATCTATAGGCTCTCCGAAGAGCGAGAAGGGAGCAGAGAGAGCACAAAAAAAAAATTAAAAAAAGTAATACACCATACTATCACATCCTACGAAAATATACGTCAGAGAGAGCACAAAAAAAATTAAAAAAAGTAATACACCATACTATCACATCCTACGAAAATATACGTCCCTCTACTTTATAAAGAGACAGAGACAGAAACGTCCACGGCTCTCGGAGGAGAGAGGACAGGGAGAAGGAAGGAGAGAGAGCAAAGGAAAGAGAGCTCTAATGCACCACACCACCACCTCAAACGCACGGCCCCTCTTTCCATCTCCTTCCCGTCCAAGCCGCCGCCTCCTGCCCTCCTCCTCCTAAAATCTCCGTCTCCTCCGCGATTTCTTCAACCCCCATCCGATTCTCCGCGACCGCTTACTTGGCCCCCGACACCCAGCTCCGTCGAGATTCCGGAACCAGCCGGCGCCATCTCGCATTAAGGTATATACCAGAGTACTAGTCTGCTGCTGCTAGTAAAATTCTGCGCTGCTGCTAGTAATTTCGTTCCGTTTTATTTACTGCCGGATCGTCGATCGGATTAGATCGGTTATTTCGTCGCTTCAGTCGGTATCCTTTGACTGGTTCGTCGAAAGGTCGGGTTTTTCAATCTGGGGTGCCTCGTTTCGTCTTCTTGACGGCGGATTGCGAGTGATCGGGGCCGGGGGTGGGGTTTTGTTGGGTTTTGCGAACCTTAACCGCGTTGTGGTGTCACACATACCGCGGCGGGTAGGTTCCCCGAGCTCGATTCCGCTGCATTCGGCGGCGTTTTGGTGGACTCCGGTACCAGAATTGCGGATTCTCTTGATTTCTCCTTCCGGAGCTCTGCTAGTGTTACAGTTTTTGGTTATCTGTGTGTATGAACTGCCTGGAGTGTACTGTGGGCGTTTTCTTTCCCCCCTTTGCTAGATTGCCAAAATTCGGTCTAGATACCATGATTATTGGACCGTTCGGATTGAACTTACATGAGCATGCCCGGATCATAGCGATTCGGCTTCTTTTTAGTTTGTTGAGGTCTTGCTGTCTTGTGTAAAGCTATTTGTTCTGTTCCCGTGTGGAGCCTTTGCCTCCCCGCTTTTCTGCTGGTGCATTGTCTGTTCCAAGTATCCTAAAAGATAACGCTTTTGTTCATGTCTGTTTCATCGGAATTTCGTGATCTCTGATTGCAACATTGGATGGGTTGTGTTGTAGGGACAGTGAAGGAACCTGCATTGTGTGGATTGATTTGGCACTGGGCGTCAGCTGCTGCCTAGTGTTCGGCTGATCATCATGGGGGAATCACAGAGTAGCCAGGATGCTTCCAGGTTCAGAGCTTTGGGCAACGGTGTCTCCGGTGCTGGGCAGGGGAGTGCTGACAGGGGGCTCCACAATGGGAGCATTGCTTCTCAGGCTGCCTGGGCTTATCCGAATGGTGGGAGATCATTGGTTTCTGAGTTTGGGCTGTATGACACGTCGAGCGTTGGAAGCAATCAGCATTTTGGTTTTTCTCACAGTGTCAGTGGTAATCTGTATGATGAGCAGTCCTTGGCGTTTGCTTTTGAGGGCATGAGTTTCAATTCCCGCACAACTGATGTGCCTACCAGTCATCACAATGCGCCGCTGACAAATGGACACTATCCATCTGGACGTGTGGATGGCACTCTGAACCAGCAGCATGCACCTGCCACACTCCAAGATGATTCTCTGGGTCTACAGTTCAGTGTGCAACATGCTATGAAGCACACTGATGTTGAACACCAAGAACAATCTCACAGATTTCCACCACAACTGGGGAAATTTTCAAGAAGCTCTGGGCTGCACAGCTTTGATAGCAATCTGGGTGTTCCTTGCCACCCATCAGCTGCTGCTTCACCCTTCCAACAAATGTGGCAATCTCAAATGTACACACCCCATGATCAGAATATTGGCTCAAACTTCATGTGGCAGCAAAATATGGGTGCACAACCATACTCTATTATGCAACCGAATTATGTCTGTCCACAATTGCAACAAGTTTCTGGGTTTGGTGCTTCTCGACATAGGAGCAATGATCAGTCTGCAGTTTCCCCCTCTGTAAAAGGACCATCCTCATCATACATTGGAACACCAAATGTTCATTGGCTGGAAAATGGGTATTCTTACCTAAACGGTGCTGCTTTTCAGAAAAGAAGAAATAGCGGCGGTCTGAATAATACATTTGCAGACAGCTTCCCAAGTACATCTTACACTGGCAGTTCATGTGGCAGTGGCGATTTTCGCCATTTTCAACGGGCTGAAAAGGTTTTCAATCCATATGAACCGCATCACCAGCAAGCTGATAACCTCGCTCATCCATATGGCTTAGGTTTCTCACACCATCAGATATCTGATAAACTCAACACAGCAAGTTACCCAGAAAGGATGCTAATGAGGCCCGACGTTGGTAATTCAGTAAAAGATTTTGATTTATCTCCCTATGCTCACTTGCTGAACTCACCGTTCTTGTCCTCCAAATCTGATACATATAAATCTATTGACGAAGTGATGGGAAGCGTATGCATCCTGTCAAAGGATCAAGATGCCTGTCGCTTTCTGCAAAAAGTATTAACAGAAGGCACTCAAGAGGACATTGATAAAATATTTTCTGAAATAATTGACAATGTTGGTGACCTTATGGTGGATCCAACTGCTCACTATTTGGTGCAGAAGATTCTTGAAGTGTGCACCAATGACCAAAGGACATGCATCATTCGTGAAATCACAAAAGCACCCATAACGCTTCATAAAGCTTCTTGCAATATGCATGGGTATGAACACAATAATCTTTACTGTTTTGTCATCCATATTTGTTGCTTTTTATCTCTGATCTTCAAGCAAAAAATTTCAGGACTCGTGTAGTGCAGAAGGTTATAGACACCATGAATACCTCTGACCAAGTGTCAATGGTGGTGTCCACCTTAAATGCTGGAATAATGCGTTTAATGACTGATTCTTATGGGAGTCATGTTGCGCTCCATTGCCTGCAGAAATTGTTACCTGAGCACAAGGCAGTAAGTTGTTATATTCATGTGATTTAACTATTTTTTTGTGTGTTTTCAGCAGTACTTGTATATGTAAATGTTGGTTGTATTAAACTTTTGTGCAGAAAAATACTTTTTATACTAGAAAACGATCTCTATATTCAATTTCTTTGCTATATTTTTTTGAAACAATTTATTTGCTATATAATGTTGTATCCTACACTACAGAATATGTAGCCCACAACTGTATTTCTAGCAGAGAAAATACTAGTTTCCTTGAACACTTTGTATATATGACTGCCCAAAGGAGTGTGTCACAATTCATCGTCTGCATTTTAACACGCACTGTGTAACTGTTGCAGTTCCTTATTGAGGCTGCTGCATCACGCTATCTTCAACTAGCAAGAGATCGTCATGGCTGTTGTGTCCTCCAGAAATGTATTGAGTATTCAAGTGATGAACAGAGAAACAACTTGTTGTGCAAGATTACATCCAGTGCCCTTGCACTTTCAGAAGATCAGTATGGGTATGCTCGTTCTCTTTTGCTCTATCCATCTTAGCAGATATCCTGATCTAATATGAATGATACTACTGTTATGCCTTTTCATAATACACTATACAATCTTAGCAGAGATCCTCATATAATATGAATGATATTGCTGTTATTATGCCTTTGCATAATACTCTTGCAGGAACTATGTTATTCAGTTTATTCTGGCCCTCAATATTGAATGGGCAACAACCAGAATAGTGGATGAGCTGGCAGGTCACTTTGGAAATCTATCCATGCAGAAGTGTGGTTCCCATGTTGTGGAGCATTGCCTGAAGCTAGCACCACGGCTGATCTGTGATAGGATCATCAACGAACTCATGCATGATCCTAAATTGCTGCATATCATTCTTGATCAGTATGGGAACTTTGTGATTCAGACAGCACTTAAACAGTGCCAGGTAAAGATACTACTTAATCCTCAGCCAAAAGAATTCCATGTGCAATCAATTAATGGTTTTTAATGTTGCAGGGTGAACAGCATGCTGCTTTTGTTGAAACTATCAGACCGCACACTGCTGTACTGCAAAGTAATATGTATGGGAAGAGGGTTCTCTCAAGGACATGCTTGAAGAACAAGCACTGCCGATTTGGCTTCTATTAACCTAACATTTTTGGCGAACATGTCTTCAGGGACAGCAGACTGAACCATTGTACAATTCTGTGATAACATGCAGATCTTACAGATAGGGTGTATCTTCGCAAAAGGAAAAAGGATCTTTTCTTTCCAGGGAAATTTTGGTTAGGGGAAGCATTTGTCTTGGCCACTTTAGGGTAATTTCGTATGTAGAATCATTTAGCCTGTTCGTTTCGGCTGAAACAATCGTGGATTATTACTGCTGGCTGGTTTGGTGTGAGAGAAAAATACTATTCTGGCTTATAATCCACGATCCTTTACGACCAAGCGAACAGGTTGAGTATAGTTTCATTTGGGTGTGATGATGGTGATTTACATTGCCGGCATCGTTATCAGTCATATAGTTTATTGTACCTGTCAAACTGTAATAGCAGTAACATCGTGTAATGTGTTAGTTGTATGGTAAAACCTGAAGTGGCAAAATATATATCGCCTCGTTCGTTTGGTCTTATTTGGCTGATAAGCCGTGGCTGAAAGTATTATTGGCTGATTTGGTGTGAGAGAAAAATATTGTTTATTGGCTGAAAAAGTACGGCTTATAAGCCAAACAAGCCCAAACGAACAGGGCGTGTATACGCCCTGTTCGCTTGGGCTTGTTTGGCTTATAGTCTGGTCTTTTGTGTTCTAGAAATTGAATTGAAACAGTTGTTTAACACTTCTTTGGGGCCACCAGCCAAAGTTGGGCCAACGTGTAAGGTTTTTTAGCATGTCATTTGCACTCAGATAGTTTCTCTTAAGTAGTTTGCACTGCTGCTGTGTTCTGTAATAATTTGTTTTTTTATTTGGGCTTTTCCTACACAAAAGAAAATTATAACGTGCTGAGAACAATGCTTCCTTTGCTGAAGTTACAGCTGTGTTGGTTCTTACAATTGGCTTAGAACAATGATGTGTTCCAATATGGAGTTCCTATATATATTACAATAAGGCTCCCATGAGGAAAATTCAGCTATATACCATTCTATCATAACAATTTTCCTCCAGTTCGGAGCACAATTAGGGAACCCACTATTTCCTCTGGAGCACAATTCGGGAACCCACTATTTTCCTCCAGTTTGGAGCACAATTAGGGAATTTCGACAAGGGCTCCTCTCAATCAATGGTGAATTTAAAACCGACAGCCAACTCAGAACCAACACAAGCATGGACAAATGTACTCCCCAGCAGCCTAAGCCTAAGAACTCCAGCACAGCTTAAGAATCAACAAGGAGCCCAGGGGCCTAAGAATCAACATGGAGCCCATGATCAGCACAAGTTGAATTACCAAGGAAGCATATAATACGCAAGTTGAATTCAGAAGGAAGCATATAATAGGCCTTTAGGAACGGAACAGGTACAAATACTTTGTTTCAATTGAGAATCCAAGTTCCACAAATAAAGTGCTCTGCTACCTTAAACATATCAGGTTACAAGAACATGGAAGTTTCCAATTGGGCAGCTATGATGCTTCAAGAAAAACATCAAACTCAAAATACACCTAGAACCTGCCTCGCCCTCTAAAACCACCACGACCTCCACCCCGACCTCTGCCACCACCCCTTGGTGGTCCTCTGCCGCCACGGAAAGAACCACCCCCACGGCCTCGGCCACCACCCCTTCCACCACGGCCGCCACCTCTAGGTGCTCCTTGAGATTGTCCCCTGTTTGAAGCAAGCAAAAAAGGAGAAAGGATTAAATAACTCATGATGCTTGATTATAATATAACTACTGAGATGTTAGAAACCTATGAGCCTCTTATTTACTTCCTATATTTTTTTTTCTCAAATGACGCAGGTGAGTTGTGTGGCATTTTATTAATCATTAAGAGAGAAATGAGGTACAAACAAGGTGAGGCTAACAGTGCCCCTCCCAAACACACCCCTAGGTTCACTACCTATTTCAGTAGAACTTGCCTCAAATTTATGATCCTGACACAAATGACTGAAAATCAGCTCGACTCTAACACCAGTTGGTGACTTAGAAGCAGCATTCCAATGCAAGCTAGAAATGCATATTAAAATAGTGGCATTATTGACTTAATGATGATGTCATAAATTTTAATGATTTCTTAACAGCAAGGTAAGAGGGCAACAATTAGTATCTTAACAGAGAGGTTTGACATTTTTTCACGATTTCACGCAACTTAAATAAGTTCAAACACAAATTGTTTTAAGTAGTAGGTGTGAACTTATCAAGTTACTATCAAGTACAATTTTCACAGAGCAGCAAGCAAACAATGCAGGAGAAACAACAACGGCTCATTCATACTTTGGTTGCGTCAGGAAGCGCGAGAGAGGGAGCAATTTCATTGGGTCGATATAGAACTTGTCGCCTTCCTTGTATGATGTTGCAATGATCCCATCCATCATCTTCACAGAGAAATACTACACATACAAAAAAAATCATATTCACGATTACAGTAGTAGCATAGCTTAAATAAGAGTTGCCTTACTAAATGACACATCAGAACAAGTAGCCCAGGAAACGAGAGCAGGGACGAGAGATAATTTAAAAAAGAACAACATGTTCCGTGGCATTTTATTACTACGGTTCAAATATGACAACATATCCCAAAATCTTGGTGCAATGCTGTACCAAAAAGACCTCCACTACAAGACTAAAATCTGTAAAATCACGCACCAAATGCTCATCCTCATCACTGAACTAAACAATCAGTGCTCTCTCTAAGCAACACACCTTCAACAAGCTATGCCAATACTACTGGTCTTGCCACACTAGAAATTCACCACAACCTCAACTCAAGTTCCCATAAGAACATAAAAAAAAGGTACTTATTTGTTTTTTTTTTATTCTTGAGATGTTCAGAGAGATTAGGGAGACCAGGGTGGCGGCGGAGGTGCTCACGGATTCGTTGATGGGGCCGAAGATCTCCTCGACCTTGCCGATCTGGGTCTTGTTCTGCAGATAGATGGGCGCGTTGAAGTAGGGCACCTTCTCGTTGGTGAGCTTCGTCACCGCCTCCCCCTCGCAGGCGTGCAGGAACGTCGACACCTCTGCGCCCGCAAGACAGAAATCCGGTCAGAAAATATCACCCCAGCAAAGGACTGAGTACTCTCACGGGAGTAGAGGTGGCACCGACCGACGACCTCCGCGGGTGGGCCCTCGTCGCGGAACCCGCCGCCGAACCGGCCCCCGCCGCCACCGCGGCCTCCACCGCCGAACCGGCCGCCGCCGCCGAACCGGCCTCCACCACCGCCGAACCGGCCCCCGCCGCCGCGCCCTCTAGGTGGCCGCATGGCGCGTGCGGTGCTCTTGGCTCGAGGGGAGAGCTGGGGTGTGAGAGGGATGCGGACGAGGCCAAGAGGGTCTTGGCGGCGCGGGAAGGGAGGGAGGCGGCGGAAGGAGGGGATGGGACTGAGGGACAGGGTTTATTAGGGTTTTAGCGCGGCGGGTGCGGGGTTTTTGGTGTGGTGGGTTCGGAGGATGACAGGTGGGCCCGGGATGGTGGAGTGAGGGATGGCCGTTGGATCGATGGTTTCCGCAGGGAGAGGATCAGTGGACGGTGATGTGGACGCCCAGACAGAGTTGTTCTTGTCGTTGTTGTCACTGCTACTAGTCCTCCACGATCGCGTATCAACCCAAAGCCTCTTTAGCATTCTGCATAGTCCTTTCAAAAAAAAAAAAAAGCATTCTGCAGAGTGCATACTGTCTTAAAATACAAGGGCAAGTGACATGGTCTCCAAAACTTAGCTTGCAAAATAATTGATATTTTAGATAAGGACATGGTCTCCAAACATAGCTTTGATCATTATTTCGGTTAGGGAGTGAGTTTAGGCTCAACTAGCCAGGCGCTCTGCCGACCGGAGTTCGAGCCCCCGGCGGTGGCAGAATTTCCGGTACCCACAAAAAAAAAATCCCTCTCGCTGTGCTCGCTAATGCGGTTACGTCTAGGTTAGATGTACCCGCGCCGGCATGTGATTGATCTGCTGGCACTCAGTTCGGCCCTCGGGCAGGAGCCAGGGTTCCGGGGGTGGGGGTCTGGGCTGGGATCATTGATCCCTCTTTCTACTCGAAATCCGTGGGGGCAGTTCTTCCCCCACCGGTCCAGTTTTTTTATTATTTATGTTAGAATATAAATGAAGCCTTTTGTTTTCAAGAAATATCTATGCATACGGTCTCAAGATTTCTAAACCAAATCTTTTTGAAAAGTTATTTTACACTGCAGTTTTAAGAAATTAACTCAAACCTTGTCCTAAACATTAATTATTTGCAAAGTACAAAGAGCTTGTTCTAAGTCAAATTTCATTAATTTTGATGATTTTTTTAGAAACCTACATTACCATCTACAAAATACCAATTAAATAGAATATCATAATATAATTCATGGTGGATTTAATGAAGCTAATTTGTATGACATAGATATTAGCATTTTTTTTAACTTGGTCAAAGCTAGTGATATTTAAAGTTACCTATAATACGGAATGATTGGAGTAGCTAATAATAGCGGGTGTTGGATGCAATACGTTTCTTTGTGTCCTTTCGAGTGGGCTTATTTAACAATTGAGTTTCGAGACGATTATGAGCTGTTCAGCTGATGGTTTCTGTGGCTGATAAGCCAGCTGATGCTGTTTTGTTGTGAGAGAAAAATATTGTACCATGACTGATAAACTGGGCTGATAAGTTCAAGGAGTTATAAACTTGGTGCGGTCGTTGTGGTGTGATGAATTGTAGTAAGTTCGTATGAATCCTCTCCCTATAGGTGAAGCCGAGCGTTCTTCCGTTATTAAGAAAAGACTATGGGAGGAAAAAAAAAGGGTCAATCAAAGTGAACCCTTGATCATCTTAGGTAAGTAGTCCGCGTGTAAACCAATTGAGATGCAATATTGGCTCTAGTGCCAGTTTCACGTCGATGAAGTACGCAAAACTACCTATTTCTATTGTCTAAGGTTACTACTTGTTCTTACTGTTTAACTGAGTCCTTTGCAATTTGACTTCAATTTTAATTTGACCACTGACCAAGCAACGAACATAAGCGAAATGAAGTCACGGGTCCAGTCGAGCTTGTAGCTTTGATTGAAGAGATATACAATCGGTAGCAACCAATAAATACAAGCCTTCGTCAAGAGAAAATTCTGCATCTAAATTCAAGTTTGAAAGGACTTAAAATTGTGTGATTGGATACATGACCACACCTATGAGCTACCCAAATGCATATGGGCTTGCCAAAAATATTAGGACCCATTCGAAATGCAACAATCTCAAAAGAATTCTACGGGAATTGTATAGCAGTAAGTTCAATTTTACAGAACAAAACTTAGAATATTAAAAAAATCATATGCTCCAAACATGGACGCCGTACTCTCTCTCTCTCTCTCTCTCTACTTTCTCCAACCCTCCCCACCGTGCTCTTCATATTGGAGACAAACATAGATTTTCAATTTTTTATGAGTCTAACCTCTATAGTCCATCTAGGGTTCATACACGGTAGCATAACAACTGCAAATTTTCAACAAATTAAAGGCAATGACACATGGCCAACCTATTTAGACCACTTATTCTATAAATTCACTGTTGTTGTCCTTATCGTGAATCTTATTATTCTTCTCTTCAATTCATCGAAGGATGGCACTAAGAATCTTGGTGGTCATGTGATCTTTTTGTAGTTAGTTACATATAAGGAGCACAACACATCCAAAATTCGGTATCAATAGAGTGAACTATGTACCTTTGTACCATCAATCAAAGATGTAAGTGACTGTCAGTGGACACTAGTAATTTGAGCAAATCCAGTCTCGAGCAATAGCTTTCCTTTCAAGAAAAAAGTAATTGGACATGAAATAGTTGTCTTCTACCGTTCTACTTATAGCCCGATTTGTATCTTCTCTTTATTTCTTTCAATTAATTGCAGCAGTTCACACCGGTTTTGGTTGCCTCTAGTCCTCTAGTCCTAACTCCTAAGCATCATCAAGCAAGGTTCTAGGTGATTTAGGGCACGTTTGGATGTCTCGCTATGCCTTGCTTTGCTTGGCTGGGCATCGAGACATAGCCTGTTTGTTTCGTCGTAAATGATTGTGGATTATTTACTGCTGGCTGATTTGGTGTGAGAGAAAAATACTATTCTACCTTATAATCCACGATCATATACGAGCAAGCGAACAGACGTTTGGTTGGCTTGCTTCCAGCCTCGGTTCTTGCGCTTTCCAGAATTCCGTCACCAGCACAAGCAAGCCAAAACTGCTCTCCGCAGCTGGCAAAGCCGAGCGAGGCGAGCTGGCCGCGCAAGCCAACCAAACGTGCCCTTATTTTTCATGGGTAGCATCAACAAAATTTTAACGTGGGTCGTGCCTTGGGGTTTAGGGTTGAACAGGTTATTGCTACATAGCTAAATTACTAGTTTGGCTCGCTATTAAAAATAAAAAATGATCTCACCAAGGCGACTAGTGTCAACTGCCAGGCGACGCCGTTTCTGCTGTCACCCTTGCTCCGAGTCCGGTTGCTCCCTTCACGTGTCTATGACACCTGGTCCCACTCATCAAAGTCAATCTTCACCTATCTCACATCGCATGTAGCCAGTGCCCTTTTCCTTCCCCCAAATCGACTTCCAATCCCCGACGAAACCCTAGAAAATCCTCCGGCATGATGGCCGCCGCCAATCCAAAGCCCAAGCCCACGCCGATGCCTCCGCCCGCGGCGCCCACCGTGGCGGCGCAGAACCCAAAGGCCGCTGCCTCCAGGGCGTCGTCGTCCTCGTCGTCCGCCGCCGACCCCAACTCCAACCCCAACAAGCGCACCAACCCGGGCAACGCCGCCGCCGCCGCCGCGGCGGCGCCCGCGCCAACAGACCCTACCCCGAGCGTCAACGGGGAGGCTAGCCGCTCGCCTCTCATCCCCGCGCAGCACCCGCACCCTCACCCTCACCCGCAGCAGCACGCTCCGCCCGGCGCGTCGCCTCTGCTGCCGCCCCCGCTCCCGTCGCGGCCTCTGCTCACCGTGGCCGCGGTGGAGGCGGTGGTGTCCGCCATCCCGCCGCCGCCGCGGTACGGGCTGGAGGACCTCGACCGCCGCACCGTCGCGCTCTCCGACGGCACCGTGCGCACCTACTTCGCTCTCCCGCACGAGCCGCCGCCGCAGCTCCGCCAGCCGCCGCCGCCGATACCCGCGCACCTCTTGGCGCCCCCGCCCCCGCCCCCGCCTCCGCTGCCCCTGCTGCGCCCGCCCATCGAGCGGTGGGCTCCTCTTCCACCCATGACCGCACTTCTGCCTGCTGCTGGGCTGCTTCCGGTGCCTGTCTCCGAAGCGGAAGTGGGAGGATCAGGCCAATGGTGGTGTGCCCGGGGAGTCCTCCGGACGCAAGCTGCAGCAGAAGTCTGAGGCGCGTGCGGCGAAGCAGGTGAAGGTGGAGGAGACGGGGGTGGACCCGAAGGTGCTGAAGACCGCCTTTCTTAAGATGGTGAAGCTGATAAATGAGAATGAAGCAGATAAGAAGAATTACCGGGCCAATGGGAAGCTTTCCCAGCTGAAATGCCCTGTATGTCAAAGGTATGCAGAAAAATCTGAAAGCCCTGTTGGTTTGGTCTTATGTTTGGATGTGCTTATTGAGTGTACAATCAAGAAAAATTAAAATGTCCAAACTTGATGTACATGCCTAGCATGGTACAGCGTGTAACAATGTTTGATAAACATAATTTTGTTGCCCCCCTGTGAAGAACCTGAAGAATGCTCTTTGGCTATTTAGTTGAAAAACGAAAACCTTCCTGTTTTATGTGACATGTCTGCCCTGTTTCAAAGGCGCCACCTAGGCGTGCCATCTCGCCTCGGGAAATAGTGGGGCCTTGTCACCTAAGCGTCCAGTGGACCCAGCACTCGCCAGACGCATAGTCGCCAACCATGCATGTCTGTATATCCTATGCTGTGTACTTGTGTAGGCCTATGGCTATGAGTAGAGGCTATGTAGCATTCCTTGTCCAAGAAGTGCTAGCCATGGAATACCTAGTTGTAGGCTTATTTATTTTTAAAAAAGTTTGTATTAATGATTAGTGTTATAAATGAAATCATCTCAGTTGGCGCCCTCATGTTCTATTTGTACAATAAAATAATAAATGGAAGATACTTAGGTAGAGAGTCAATTAAAAATGAATTTAAAACAAGGGACCAATAGATGGAAGAAACATAGGTAGAGAGTCAATTAAAATTCAATTTAAAACAAGCAGACCTTGGCTAGCCTTTGCTGATAGGTCTACTACAGGGTTAAACTCTCACTAAATAGTTTATGCAGTCCATGCTTCTCCACACAGTTCAAGGTCATACCATTTTTTTTTGAAATATGGATGTACCCTTTGTCTGCCCTGCTCTCTTCATGATTTTGTTAACTGACCTTCCTCGACCTGTTTTCTTTGTTTTCCTTTTCTTTCCCAAATGGGAATTGGTTTTGTATCAGATGATGTTCAACACAATGGAACTATTCATGTGTTTATTCAGTAACTGAGCGACATTGCTCAATACTCTATATACAATATGGCGCTCCTAGAGTCTTGTCAGATAGCACCTACCCTTGTTTTATTCTTGATTTCACAAGTGACTGGGTTTTATGTTGGCTTACCAGGCCTACAACAACTCTTCTCCTTCACCTGGCTTCTTTTTGGCTCTTGTTTTGTCAGCTCTAGCCCGCCCCAACTTGCTTGGGACAAATGACTGTACGTTGGATAAGCAGTTAAGTCTGGCATTTTTCTTGGGATCCTTAGGTTTGGATCTGATCTCTATCTAAAATACCTTGGAACACATTTTCTGGTTACTTTTTTAGTCTGATTCTTCTCTCTAATTGTGAACTTGTAATGTCATGTTGGTTGACTTCTAAATATGAAATTCATATACCAGCTTTATAGCATACTAGACTTTCAAATTGAGAAAGCCCCAAGCTCTGGAATACCTGGGTTTTTCAACATTTCCTTGTGTTAAGTCAATGGTTGTTGGAAGTATTACTATTAGTCTGACGTTTCAAGATATTTATTTCATAGTGTTGATTTGAGGAATGAGATAGTGAGAATCCATTGATTATGAACCTAGGCCTGTTGTTTAGTTGAGGAATGACATGGACTGAATCATTAGGCACATTCTAGTAGAAGTATAGGAATAATCTCTACTCAAAATAATGGGCTGATCCCATGAAGGACTATCTCATATAGGATGAGTTACTTCCACGAGTCATACACCTCATTTGAGTCTGCCACAACAAATATAAGGATGTTGGGATGATCAAACCTTCAAACAGTTAAATAGCATTTGAGCTTGCTTCAACACAGACTCGGCAGTTCTTACCAGGATCAGTTCTACCTCCTGTTATTTGCCATTTGCCCATTTGTGCAGCCTAAGGCTTAAAAGTGGCTAGTTTTGCATTTCATGCACTAAGTTTTATTTGGATCGTTAACCTTTCATTCTGTGATAAAATAATTCCCTGTGGTCATACTGTTGGAAATTGCTCCATCTTTCTTGAGTGTTTATCACAAACACATACTAGCTTTTCTCTTTGGTGGATACACACAAGTACCAAAATAACACAAGTAGTTTTTGGTTGATGTGGATGCGGCCACACCAGTCCTCATTGTTTTCTCATACAGGGTTGTACACATGCCCATGATACCCCCCTAATTAATGCAGGCAATGCCTCATATGATCTTCCCAGTAATCTCGTTTACAAACTAAAACCTAGCTAGCATTGATAGCAATGAACATATGCACTACTTGAACCTTGACACACAGGATTATTTCTGACACATACTAGTGATATTGTGGATTATCCATCGCTGGGAATGTGATCGCTGCCACAGTGCCACGTGCCTTATTCTGGAAACATTGTTCTTGTTCTGAAAGCAACAGACAGTAGTGGAGATATCTTTCTCAAAAGCGCACCATGTTTCTTAATCCCTGTTCCATGACCCAATTGACCTAGGAACTTGGTAACTCTGGGATTATCAAAGTAGGCAAGTACCCAACTCATTTCTGTGTCATAATGTTGGTAATTGTCATATATTTGTTAGAAGTATGAAATCTGCTGCCCTACTGCGTATTCCAGTCAATTGCTCCATGTGCTGATGAACACAACTGACTGGCCATTGTCCGTTATCAAAGGAGTTTTTTTCATAGTACTACAAAATTTAATGCTTTAGGGGGTTAAGTGGACCCTAAACTAAGTCAGGTGGTTAAGCTATGGTACTAATGAGAATTAAAATACACTTTCCTTCAACAAAAACATCGAAGAATCCCACTTAACTCCAAACTAGCAGAGTTTTTGTTTTAATTCAGTGTGAATCACTTATCCCAGGACCATACTCTTGAAAACTTGAACTGTATCATACTACCCCATTTTTTTTTATTGTGGAGCGGCATGTGCCTGCAAAGCTGTAATCATTGTTTTAATTATTTTTGGCATTGCGAATAGAAATCAGTTTCAGTTTTGGAGCAAATAATCCAACAAAAGAAGAGAAACACAGTACATACTTTGATGTGAGGTATGTTTAGATTGGAGAATTTCCACAAGATTTTCACCGGTTTCAACCACTTTATATGTCATTGTGAAGAGATAACCATACAACGCATCTTGGCCTTTATGGACTTAATATGCAAACTTGCATGTTGCACATTTGTGATGTTCTTTTCATGAATGCATTCATGCTTGGTTTTTGCTTTCTTGCCTGGTCATTACTTTCTGGAACTATGTTGTGCTGCAAAAGCAAACTTATTTTGCTACCTGGGTAGTTTGTTGAATCCCATTTTTTGTTTTGAACAGCTATTATGGATGTGTATTGATCCTTTGTTTTGTTCCTATGTTTCAAAAATGTTTACGCTACTAATTGTACTTTCCTGATTTCTTTTATGAACCATTTAGTTCACACAATGAGTTTTAGAACCATGGTTTTTCTGAGAGTGGCATGGATTATTGTCTGAAGACAATGTTTTATGCATAATTTTCATTTGAAGCCGATTGTATGCATGGTTTGATTACAGGGATTCTGTAGATTTGCATGCGCTCCTCAATCATGCATACTATGCAAAGAATCAGGAGCATCGTGCTGATCACCTAGGGTTTCACAAAGCTTTATGTGTTCTTATGGGTTGGAATTACTCCGTGCCCCTATTCACAAAAACCGCTTACCAAGCATTATCAACTATCGACGCTGAAGCCAATCAAGGAGACCTTATCTTATAATACCAACAGTTGTAATTGAGAACACATACAAGTCAAAGCACGATGGACAAAAGGATGGCATGAGTGATAAAGATATGGAGAGCAAGCTGAGAGGTACTTCTTCAATGCTTGCTATGTCACTGTGATCTTGGTAGTTCTGAACTTCTGAATGATTACTCTATTAATCATCAGAACTTTTGATGTTTTGCCTTCTCTTTGTTCTTTTGGACGGATAAGTTGGGGGAAAATCATTTGGTTTGACCAAAACTTGTTATTTGGTTTCTTTAAAGATGCCTGTCTTTCAGAAGCATTAGATAGAAATGAAAAGAAATATTGAAAACTGTATTGGCTGACAGTTGAATTCCTCAGTATTTCGGTTTGTTACTTATCAATTTACATAGTTTGTTGGACCTGCCATAAGAATTCTATCTATAATATAAATGTAGCCAGTGTCCCCTAGCTTCCTATTTTGTGTAGCAGAGGATGATCTGGCTGGTGCCTTGGAGGCTATCTGCTAAAATGTACACACATGAATTCCTTTTTACTATTATTATTACCAATGGATTTTCACTTTATTTATTTATCTGCTTTTTTGGGGTGGTTCTTGTTGGGTTTCATTTCTAGCCTTAGGACCCAACTTGCTTGGGACTAGAAGGCCTTGTTGCATCATTACACCTAGTGCAGGAACTTGATAAACTAGCGAATCTTTTCTTCTTCCATATTATAGTTAACTATGTGTTAACTGTTCAGCTGCGCTTGTGATAAGTGATGTTTCCCCACTATATGGGCCTATTTGGATGGCAGTGTGGGAAAGTTGCCTCTGCCAGGCATTGGTCCCAGGCGTTAGCCATTCGATTTCGAGTGCCTAGGGTCAGATGCGCATGCCTGGTGGGGCTCCCAGCCCAGGGCTGCATCCAAACACGCCATATGTGCCTGTGATGTTTTAATAGTCCATAGGATGCGAGGTATCTAAAGTGCTAGGAATTTGCGTGGGCAATAATTCATGCCTACCCTGTGCATCTGTGAATCTACTGTTTTGCATTCTCATAGACAACAATCAGAAACTGACATGTTCACCAACTGCTGTATTCCAGAAATGGGCTTTGCGGTGTCGATGTGCAGCCACTCCCTGGGAAGGATGGTCAGAGTCCATGCAAGCTAAGTTTCCTGCCAGCCTTGATGGTCTGAACAATGCGTCCACGGCTCGTTGAGTTGTTCGGCGCCAAGGCCATGGGCGGCGGCTTGGGCTGCGCATCCGAACATCGTCCCCACCAGTGATGGGGGCAATAATAACCCCATGCTGGTCAAGGTGGAAGCAGCAAGGAGAAGCGGACATGGGTCCTCTATGGTTACCTTGCCACGGCATGGGACTTGGACATTCCTAGACCCAGAGTCGAAGCAGAATGCCACTGTAAAGAGCAGAAAGGGGTTTGGATCCTGCTAGAGCTGTGTATGTTAACAGATGAGATCCATATAGACAGTATAATTCAGAGTGTTTTTTGTTTATGACAGCGTTCAAGGTTGAGAAATTCTTTGTTGATGAATCGGCTTCGTGAATAGTGCAGTGCAAATAATGGTTCTCATTATAATTTTCGGTTGTGAATAGTGCAGTGCGTTCACTCACCTGGAATATCAGCTATGCTTAGTACATTTATTTATTTATTTTGGTAGCAGTGGGCTCAGATGCAAGGGGTGAAGTGATCTCAGATAGTCTGATGTGAGCATAGCGGTGGATGCATATTCTTTTTTTCCAGGATTTAC